TAGTGTTGACCAGCCTCTACCCATCCCCTTTATTGGCCCTGTGCCACAATTTGTACTTTTTGTACGAATAAATATCAGTCTTTATTTAACCCTAGTTTATATGTATTTAATTTTAAATCCAGTATTTAAATAAATAGAATGAATTAATAAATACTTTCATAAAAAAACATTATTATTTTTTTAATTTGCAACTTTTTCTATATATGCATATTAAGAAAGTATACGTGGATATATATATATATATATATATATATATATATATATATATATATATATATATATATACTGGGTGTAACAGCGAAATTGTTCAAATCGTGTGATAGCATGGCATAATTGTCCATTCCAAAATATGTTTAATATCTAAAAAAAACACTGAACTAATTGAATTAGTTTTTTCGAGGTTTTTAGATAAGACGTTCAGCCATCTTGACACCATTTGTAAACGGTTAATCAAAAACCGAAATTATTTACGACTCAACCTAATAGAATAATTCGTAACAATTGCAGCAAACAAATACCTCGCCCCCCCTCTCTCTCTCCCTCTCTCTCTCTATATATATATATATTAGTAAGCCTTAAAATACAAAACTAACTCATGGGGTATAAGCCGATTTCAACCGATGAAAACTTACTCAACCCCGGTATATAAATTGAGTTCGGAATTAGCTATTACATACCAACAGATTTCTTAACTTTAATATATATATATATATATATATATATATATATGAAGAAAAATATACGGAAAAAACAAACAAAAATCCTAATATGCAATTATGCTGTTTTAATGTTAATATAATGTCAACGTCGGACGTTTCGGTCTAGTAGACCATCTTCAGGAGATATTCATAAAACATAATTAACATTAGACTATATTTAATTCAACATGAAAAGACGATGGACATAAGAGTAAGACGAATCAAAACAGACAACTGAAATTTTTTCAAGATCAGCGTTCCGTTTCAATATGATCACGTCGGCGTCACGTGGGCGATGTTGTGAAAACGTATTCTAAAATAGAGTATTTTGAATGAAAAATGAAAAGAATTTTATTTTAATCTAAAACTTATATGTACGTTTGTCGAGACCTGGCTTCTTTAATATTTCCCCTTTTCTAGCAAGATTGATGCTCGACAAACGTACATATAAGTTTTAGATTAGAATAAAATTCTTTTCATTTTCATTCAAAATACTCTATTTTAGAAATACGTTTTCAGAACATCGCCCACGTGACGCCGACGTGATCATATTCACCACACCGAGCTCTCTTTGATTTTTATCCTCCTTAGGTTTAACCACATGGATTACCTAGTTTTCATAAACTATATATATATATATATATATATATATATATATATATATATATATATATACAAATGTAATGAGAACGAAAAATATAAATTCAAACGTTCATGGCATTAATTTAAAAGAGTTCTCAAGACCAAGATTAGAGCAATAGTTATCTTACTTATTATAAAACGCAGATTTTGTGTGTGTGTGTGTGTGTGTCTGTTCGTTTATATATTGGATCGGATTTCCTACATTTTTCAACTGATTTCAACAAAACTTCACAAGACTACGTAAAATTACCTTGCGGTGGTTCTGACAGTGCCAAAAATGGGAAAAACACAATTGTTTTTGCACAAAATCAATTTGAAAACACGATTAAGAGCGTGAATGAAAGGGGGACAACTCATATCGAGTTATACTTTTTATAAAACCCCGGTTGTGTGTGTGTGTGTGTGTGTGTGTGTGTGTGTGTGTGTGTGTGTGTGTGTGTGTTCGTTTATGTATGGGATCGGATTTCTACATTTTTCAACCGATTTCAACAAAACTTCACTTTTTTTGGCAGGTATTGTTTCTTATTGTCTTGCACACTTTTTTCTTTATTTTTACATTCAGAATGCTTTAAAAATTCCATTTAGAAGACAATTGTTTATAATAAAATTCTATTCAATAGATAGACTCATAATGATTGAAAACAATGTTTTTGTTTTAGTTTGGGTTTGACCAATTCGCAAAAAAACAAAAAAAAAATAATAATAATTAAGACATGCGTGTTCGTCAACTTTAAACAATAATCTTTATCAATTTTATTTTCAGTCTTTATGATGGTCGATACTCGATCTGTCTCTTACTGTTACATCCCCGGGCAACTGCTAGTTTATTATAAGTTGTTCCATGCGAACAAACAAGTACTCACGACAATGATGCAAATTTGTTTCGATGCTTAAAGGTAAGCATCTCATCATGTGATGAGTTGCTTACCTTTAATTATCGAAACAAGTATACATCTTTGTAGTGATTTCCTGTTTGTCTGTATGTAATAAATATATATATATATATATATATATATATATATATATATATATATATATAAAACCTATATGAATTCGTGAAAAAACAAATTGTAGTTCAATACGACGTATTAATATACAAACAACCGTTTTTGAAAAAATCTTTATGTGTACAAATACGAATTTAACGGCGTAACAAAAATGCCAAAAACTCTCTGTCGTTGAAATAAACCATATGATATGCGTCGAATGGATGTCATCATCCGCTTGAAAATTGGCACCCCGAGGCAAACTTAACTTAACCTTCTTTCGAAAGTAACCAATATATTGATACAATAGTTGTCAGTGAAAATATAAACCCTTACACCCCTTATTATATCAATCGTTTCGCCGTTTCCATAGTAATTAATATTATGAATGTATATGCTTATAAAACTCCGTAAATTTCAAGATTAGTTATTCCAAAATTCGCCTGAGGATTAAACAGAGCTCGTTACTTTAATTTAATTAAATTTCTATAATTACATTGAAGTTTTTTAGCTTCTGTTTTTGAAGCATGAGAACTCTGATGTAGCGATGGAATCATATTTTTTTAAAATAAGTATAATTTAGGCTCTATTCATGTATTGAGCACTGTTTTATTAAAAATAAAAACAAAAATACTAAAGAACTTCGGGTTATTAACCTAACGTGTTCTTTCCTATTTTTCTATATATTCACACACACACACACACACACACACACACACACACACACACACACACACACACACACACATATATATATATATATATATATATATATATATATATATATAAACGGTAATGTTAAATCTTGTAAGTGTATAAGTATCTGCATGTGAGGAATGTCTATAGACGTCACCCTCGTATATGTTGGTGAAATGTTGCGAAATGTTGCAATGATATATTTGATTGGATTTTTATATTCCCGTGTATAAGTGTGGAGGGGACGTCTGTGGTCGTCAATTCTGTGTGGGTTGTACTCATGTTTTGATTGGATTTATTATTAAAGCATTTCTCATGCATATGTATCAAAAGGATTTGTATAGTTTCATTATTTTATGTATTAGATAGACATAAGTCAGATTCATGAATAATGCATCTGTAGAAAGATGGTTATGAGATGTAAGGTTTTAAGCGAGTGTTTTTAGTCGGTAGTAAAGCTATGAATATATTTTCGAAACAATTTCCTCAAAGGTTAATGTTCTTTTTTTAATTAGGCATACATTAGTGAAATCAAATTTATATTCCACGTTGTTTCGATGTAAGACGAGTGAGTTAGAATGCCTCTCTAAACGCAACTTTCTCTTGTGTTCGTAGATACTAGGTTTTAGATCGCGTGATGTCTCCTCGATGTAGTTGCTAGTAATGCTATAATTATGTTTTTATAATATTTTCTCCTTAAAGGTTTATGGTATTTTTTTTAATTAGGCGGGCATTAGTGAAATCAAAGTTACGTCCCACGTTGTTTTCGATGTAAGACGAGAACTTGTCGGTTTTCTATTCATATCTGATCGCTTCAATTCATATGTTTGTATGTATAAGATTAAAAAAATGTGTGCTTGTGAAAAAGTATCAGTATTTTCCAAGCACTGCTTTGTCTGGCATAAGGTCATGAGTATAATGCACTCGTGAAGATCGAACTTATATATAATATATATATATAAACATGTATGCTAATTGTCCCCTCATATAGACGCAATATGCTACTGTCTTTTATAATAACCATGTATTCTACGCATACACGGGTTCTGTCTATATTCCTGAAATGAGGTATTATGATGACGTGCATTTTTAACATTATTCGGACTGTTATCCTCATCTTCATTGTCATATTCACAACGTTTCGGCCTCTATATATCTGAGATGAGATATTATGATTATTTGCATTATTTACATTATTCGGACTGTTATCCTTATCTTCATTGCCATATTCACAACGTTTCGGCCGTTGTACGCTCCGCCCTTCTTCAGGTGATTGGTAGAAAATTGTTACTGAGACATTAGGTTTCAAAGTACCAAAAATTCACACACAGATATCCTCAAGGATACATGCCCCAGTAAATATAGACGCTGGTTAGAGTCAGTGACTAGACCCAAAGAGTTGTGTGTTCAATACCAGGCCGGAGCAGTGCTGAACAAAAAAAAAAAAAAAAACTTGGCAAGTTGATTTAACTGAAACATCTAGAAGGGACATGTCACGTGGAACTAGAACAATCTATCCCTGTGGACGAAATAAAGAGTTCGGTTCGAAATTCCAATCACCTGAAGAAGACCGGAGCGTACAATTGCCCAAACATTCTCTTGATGGTTCTTGAATGGAAACCAGAGTATGAATATTGGTAGCATTACTCAAGGCCTGATTGATCTTTTTCTTCTAACCATTGCTCAGTTTGCAAGATATTGTGGAACTGACATTAAATGATTTTAACCTGTTCTCTTTTTAGCCGAATAACTCAAAGGGTTTTTCAGTGATTCTTACGACAAATGGTATCAAGATGATTAAACGTCTTATCGGAAGTCCCGAAAAAAAAGAAACTCAATTAGTTTAGTGTTTTTGTTTTTTTTTTATCTATTAATCATTTTGTGAGATGGACAATTATGCTGTTACACAATTTCGACAATTTTGCTGTTACACTCGGTATGTGGCATTAAATCTAGTTAGCTCGCTATGAATCTTAGTATGTTAATTTCTCTCTCTCTCTCTCTCTCTCTCTCTCTCTCTCTCTCTCTCTGTGTCTACCTCAGTCTGTTAGATCTATCTATCTATCTATCTATCTCAGTATGTTCATTTATCAATCTACCTCAGTCTGCTCATCTCTCTCTCTCTCTCTCTCTATCTATCTATCTATCTATCTATCTATCTATCTATCTACCACAGCTTATCCATTATTATTTATTTATCTATCTGTATAGATATTTGTGCGTGTGTGTATCTGTCTGTATACTTGTGGGTGCTTGTCTGTACGCGCTTGTGTCATTATTTACACAATCCAACATGTTTTAGACTGGTTCAAACTGCCTTTTGATGAATTTAGCCATTTAAATCAGTTCTCTCTTTCTCACATTATATATATATATATATATATATATATCTTTTGAAACCGCCAGTTCAGGAAGCAGAACATATCATGGCCGCTTGACCGGATAAACATGCTTGCATCTGGTTGCCTGCGCATGCGTATGTGTTTTTATGCTACATATTTAGGCGAGTGTAGGAAGCAGGGTGAACCGGTTAGAATTCTCATCTGGAACAGGAAGAAGGATGAAAAAAAAATGAATAAGAAAATTTTTCTCCTGATGCTATGGAAAGTGGAAATATTGAAAAAAAAATCATGCCCACTAAATAGTAACCTCTCCAAAATACACCCTCAAAGAAAAGCAGTGCCGCAATCAACATACAGAAGTCATGATGGCAGTATATAACCGTGGATAAGTGAAGACTTAGAGATAGACGCACAGAAAGATTCAAACAAGTGGACACACAGGAAAAAAAATAACAAATATTTTCTACAAAAACCAAATGCACATCAAGTGCAAACAAGATGAATCTTCACTTAGAAATATTATAAAAAAATACACTACTTCAATTGACCCGAATAAAATAGTCAAATTAATTATCTACTGCAAAAAAATTAAAATGGCTAAACTTATTCTCAAAAATAACAAAACACGACTACATACACCTTACGTTACACCTATCTGACCATAGCTCTATCAGAATCCATTTAAATACACACACAAACTTGCCAGACTCCATCTGAAACTTACTAGTAGAAAATACAAACATAATAACCTCATCCACATGTAAAAAAGCTTAAAAATTATGGAAGCCTTAATAATAAAAAAGAAAAAAAAAACAACACTTAACAATATTAACTACGAACACGGCCACAATGTGCTAACTGTGTTCGGAATATAAAACATTTCTATAACACTAAATACATACACACAACCCAGACACCCAATTAAAAAGCAAAAATAAAATCATCCTTGATAATGGCTAAAAGTATTAGCCGAAAGCGCACGGAATTACAGAACATTTGGACAATTTCTACACACTCTGTGTCCCTCCCCCAAAAAAAACACTTGTTCGAAGACAAGAAAAATTAAATTAAAAGCTTAACCGTAGTACCATGTCTGACGTCTTTAATGAAAAATGCACATACATACACACACAACATGCACATACACACGCTAATCGAACGATCCTCCGTGGCTCGATCGGTTAAGGCATGTCAGGCTAAATGACGGTTCTGTATAGGTTACAGGTTCGATTTCTGTCGGAGGAGGAATATTTTTTATGAAAATTTCTCGGACATTCAGGCCGGTAAATGTTATTAATACTGTTTTCTATAAAACAGAGCATTTACTTAAATATTTCTATCTATAAAAAGAATGTATAAACATAAAAATGTCTTGAAATAATTGTCGGACTTTGTCCATTTCATAATATATATATATATATATATATATATATATATATATATATATGAAGAAAAATTTGGAAAAAACAAACAAAAATCCTTAAATGCAATTATATTTGTTTTAAAATGAATGAAATGTCGACGTCTGACGTTTCGGTTTAATAAACCTTCTTCAGGACAATATTCATTAAAATACAATTCAGTCCAATTTGACAAAGACGATGGACATAAAAACAAGTCTTATCATAAGAAGGTTTATTAAACCGAAACGTCAGACGTCGACATTTCATTCATTTTAAACAAATATAATTGCATTTAAGGGATTTTTTTTGTTTTTTTCCAAATTTTTCTTCATTCTGTCGGATCTATATCCATTTACATTTGCTTACATATATATATATATATATATATATATATATATATATATATATATATATATATATATATATATATATATATATATACGCACGGAGTGGAGTTGCTATTTTGTATCCAACTGGCATTCAAATCAAATATATTCTTCCCTAGGCTGGTTGCCAAAGTGAAATTTGTCTGCTCTGCTATTGACCACTAACTAGGAGTGGGAGAAGGAATGGATTTATACCAATGATATTTGTACAAAAGCAACAGCCAGGATTGAAACTAGAATTCTCAACGCCAAATCCACTTTCGTCGCTGATAAGCGATACGATTCGCGCATGTCCAATGCATATAATAAGTCCACTTATCCATGCGATTCCGTCTGGCTTCGGGCATGGAACTCCTTTTATTTTCTACATCATGGGACTGAGCTTTCAACGATGTTGTAAACTGCGTGATTTTGTTTAGTTGATTTGAAACCTAAATTCTAAAGACTCTGTCTCCAAGATTTTCTTTTGCATTGGTACTTCGGGGCCAGATGGAATGTTTGCTAAAAAAAAAATGGACGATTTTCAATGCAAAGGAAGGCGACCAAACAAAATATTCACTTGTTTTGTAGTTACGCAAGTTAAAAGAAAAATAAAAACATTGATTTTGGACAAACTCGGCATTGAAAATAGAAAAATCGACACTCACATGATATAAACGCCACTCTCTGATCAACGAATTAATCGATACGATAGACATTTAGTCATGTCATCAGGGAAAAGACAATGGAGGTTCATTTTTATTTCACAAAGCGAATTTGCGAGGAGAGCTTAACTGGTGAGAGACAGTGTGAAAAGATTTTCACTTACTTTTTTTTAAAGCAGCGACAACTGATAACCACACCATATTTCAATGCATCGAAGTATCTATCTATCTATCTATCTATCTATCTATCTATCTATCTATCTATCTATCTATCACAAGCTGTTTGTTACTGTCTTATGCTAATACTATCTATCTTATGCTGTTACTATCTATCTATCTATCTATCTATCTATCTATCTATCTATCTATCTATCTATCTATCTCATGCTGTTACTGCCTATCTATACTGTTACTATGTATCTGTCTATTTCATGCTATTTCTTACATTCTCTCTCTATCTCACGCTGTTTCTCACTATCTATCTAAACTGTTACTATCTATCTATCTATCTATCTATCTTATGCTGTTACTGTCTATCTATATTATTAAGATGTATATTGTTACTCTCTTTCTATCAATCTCTCTCATGATATTACCATCTATCTATCTATCTATCTATCTATCTATCTATCTATCTATCTATCTATCTATCTATCTATCCTGTTACTCTCTTTCTACCTATCAGTCTATCTTATGCTGTTATATACTTACTATCTATCTATGTATCTATCTATCTATACTGTTTCTATATATCAATTTATCATGTAAATCAAAGATAATTTAAACGCAAGCACAAGAGAATATGATTAATGACACACTATATATATATATATATATATATATATATATATATATCTTATGCTGTTACTATCTATCTATATTATTACTATGTATACTGTTAATCTCCTATCAATCCCTCTCATGCTATCTATCTATCTATCTATCTATCTATCTATCTATCTATATCGTATGTAAATAAAAGATTAAAAAAGGTAAACGCAGGCACAAGAGAATATGATTAATGACACACTATCTATCTATCTTATATTGTTACTCTCCTTCTATCACTCTCTCTCGTGCTATTACTATCTATCTATCTATCTATCTATCTATCTATCTTGTTACTCTCTTTCGACCTATCAATATATCTTAAGCTGTTACTATCTATCTATCTATCTATCTCATGCTATTACTATCTATCTATCTGTACTATTTCGATATATCAATCTATCTTATGTAAATGAAAGATAATTTAAACGCAGGCACAACAGAATATGACTAATGATACACTATCTATCTATCTATCTATCTATCTATTTTTATATACATACATATAAAATATCTGGAAAATACTGTACCAGAAAAAGATATATAAAAAAGTGTTTCAATACACCGTTCAGACAATCGAACATGCAGAAAAGGCTGAAATGAAATGGAAACCCTTTAGGTAAACTTGCTTCTCAAAGCACTCTTTTTTCAAATATGGCATCACCGGCATTTGTGGGAAAGTTAACGCAATAAACTAGACCAGAATTTGAACCTGGCTCGCTGGTTCCATTTTCCAGGCCGATAACTGATCCGTTAATTGCGCATCTAACTTACTTACGGAATAAGTTGACTCCTTATTATAACAAATTCTGAATTCCACCTGGTCTCATATCCGTTTTGGCGCCCTGGTATATGATTATAAAATTACGTAATGGAGGACACGTAGATATAGTGTAATGTTTAGCCAACTTGTCTTGCTAAGGACAATAGGGATTAACTACTGAGTTCGATGCTCACTGTGTACTTCATACTTCTGGCTTTGTGCCATATCTAATCTTAGTAAGTTAGTTAAGGTCTGATCGATTGACATTGCATTTTAAAAAAGTAACATTACTGGAAAGAAACATAACGAGAAAGTAGATAACGATTGACATTGCATTTAAATTTTTAAAATCAAAGGAAGAGGAATTAAGAAGACAGTAGATAACGATTGACATTGCATTTAAATTTTTAAAGATCAAAGTTAACTGGAAAGCATGAAGCCGGAAGAGAGTTCCACAGGCGAGAAGTGAGAACAATAAAGGAAGAGGAATCAAGAAGACAGTAGATAACGATTGACATTGCATTTAAATTATTGAAGATCAAAGTTGGCTGGAAAGCATGAACCCGGAAGAGAGACATTCATTTAAATTTTGAAGACAGGCGAGAAGTGAGAAACAATAAAGGAAGAGGAATCAAGAAGACAATAGATAACGATTGACATTGCATTTAAATTTTTGAAGATCAATGTTGGCTGGAAAGTATGAAGCCGGAAGTGAGTTCCACAGGCGAGAAGTGAGAACAATAAAGGAAGAGGAATCAAGAAGACAGTAGATAACGATTGACATTGCATTTAAATTATTGAAGATCAAAGTTGGCTGGAAAGCATGAAGCCGGAAGAGAGTTCCACAGGCGAGAAATGAGAACAATAAAGGAAGAGGAATCAAGAAGACAGAGAAATGATTGAATTTTTGAAATCAAAGGAAGAGGAATCAAGTGAGAACAATAAAGGAAGAGGAATCAAGAAGACAGTAGATAACGATTGACATTGCATTTAAATTTTGAAGGTCGAGAAAGTTGGCATTTAAATTATTGAAGATCAAAGTTGGCTGGAAAGCATGAAGCCGGAAGAGAGTTCCACAGGCGAGAAGTGAGAACAATAAAGGAAGAGGAATCAAGAAGACAGTAGATAACGATTGACATTGCATTTAAATTTTTGAAGATCAAAGTTGACTGGAAAGCATAGATTTTCCACTGACAATAAAGGAAGAGGAATCAAGAAGAAGTGATAAATATTATTTAAATCGAATCAAATTGACTAAGATTTTCTGACATGAAGTGGAAAAAATCGAATCGATTGCTAAGTGTCCTGCTAAAAAACGGTTTTTTCCATAAGAATAATATTCGACATGAAATAACCCAACAAGATTTAAAAATCGTCAAATTATCCAACTTAATTCTTCTTTGGTTTTTTCCTCGATTTCATTTGAAGACAATCAACACCATTTGCATTAGCCTGTTGCAGTTTGTTGAAACCGGGCATAACGATAAAGGATTTTTTTTTTTTTTTTTAGACAAATAGTTAATATCTACGTTTTCATCCCGGTGCTTGCCAAATCTGACTACTTTTTTGGTTATAGTGTAACCAGAAACTATTTTGACCTTTTTGTATTTATTGCTAACCAAACCTATGTCTACCTTTTTGACAAGAGTGTAAACTGTACCTTCATTTACTTTGTTTTAGTTTAATCTGTCTACCATTTTGAAACGATGTTCTTAAACAGACCTGTCACTACCTTTTTAACTATAGTGTAAATTAGGTTTCTGTCGACGTTTTTCACGTGCAAACCGAACCTATTTATATCTATCTATTAATTATTTGTAAATTTTTGTCCCATAAATATAATATTTGACATGAAATAACCCAACAAGGTTTGAAATGTCGGCAAATTAACCAACTGTGAAATCCATTCCCAGGGCATAAAGGACATTAACACAAATGTTTGTAGAAATTACCGAATTTTAAAATAAAATATGGAAATCTCTTACTGAAAATTAATGACGCTAAGCACATCATTATTTCGTGTGATTGAGATTAACATTATTAAGATAATCGCATGTATGTTCATCAGAACCAGCGCCATTAATAATATCCATCTTTTCATAAAGCCAATTTGCTTTGTTTCTGAAATCATTATTAAATTCTATGGTTTTTATTCTCGATTTCATTTCAAGTCAATCGACACCGTTTACATTACGCTGCAGCGTTTTGTTGAGACCTGACAGAACGTTAAAGTTTTTTCTTCTGAAACATTGAGACAAATAGTTAATATTTGATGTCCGGGAAAGGGATATACGGTGCTGTTCGATAAAAGTGACTCACCTTACCCTTTGAATTTAGCTCAACTTTCGTTTCATCGGAGAACATTCTTCCAGTATTCTACGGTGAAATATTTGTAATAGTAAGCCCATTCAAGTCTCTTGACTTTGTTGGTTTTGCTTATTAGCGGCTTAAACCTTCGTGTACAAGATTTGTAGCCTTGTTCTAAAAGCCACCGTCGGACTGTTGAAGAGGCAAGACTAACACCTTGCTCTTCCCTTAGACTGGCTGCAATTTCTTGGCCAGTTATAGTCCTATTCTTCGCAACTTCTCTCTTGATTACCCTGCCAGTTCTATCATCAATCTTTTTCTTTCGTCCACTTGTTTCCTTCCTTGGAGCAAAAGTGGCATCATTATGTGCCCTAAGCACTCGAAAGACAGTTGATTGCGAGGTTATAGCAATCTCTCTCGTAGACTTGCCTTCTTTTGAGAGGGCAATAATAGCTGCCTTAAGTGGTTCTGATGCGTGTTTGTACCCTTTCATCTGGTTAGTGACTTGAGTGGCTATTTCAAGCTGTTTGCATACTGTATAAGGCTTTCTGGAATATTCTGAAATGCTCTAGATTTTATTTAAGCTGTTCTAGAATTCTCTAGAATATTGTTCTGAGTGTATTGTAAAATAGTTTTCAATATTTTGTTAAAAGTTCTTTAAATTTACTAGTTTAATCATTAGAATGCGATATCTGAGTCACTTTTTTTGCACAGAGTTTTTTGTTGAATCTTATTTATATCCAAATTTATAATTATCAATAGAATACCTTAGGGTGAATAAACATTTTTCTAGGTGGTCGGGAAGGGGTCTTTATATTAGTAAGATTAAAAATTATTTTAACCCTAAAAACAATAGACAAAAAATATTCTTATTAAAAATATCAGGTGAGTCACTTTTATCGAACAGCACTGTATTTGATCGAAGTAGCAAAGTGGTTTTGGACTACTGTAACCGAGTAGGACAATCTAGCAGGTAACCGTAAACGACTGGTCCTCGTCGTACTGGTAGGCAATAGGCGTAGTCAATAGGCGTAGTCAATAGGCGTCCCAAGTACCTCCACATCAGTCTGTATTTATGGCTGACACCAGCCAATCATATTACTGTGAGGGGGGGACCCAGGTGTATGGATATTCATTACATCAATATTCAAGCATTTTTTGAGTGTCGACATCTGTGAAATCAACGCAGGCGCCCCTCCCCCCAAGTCTTCCTATTTTTAGTCTTTAATCCTCTTTCCGCTGTTTATTAACGATTTGCCTAGAATCATTCCCATATCATTATTAAACGTCTATGCCAACCCATTTTAGGGAACCACCTCCATGGAGCCTTACATAGGATCTCCCTGCTGATCTAGCCGTAAAAGGTCAACGGGGGAAAGATAACTTGTAACTCTCTCCTTAACTCAGTATCTAAGTTGAGTGACACAAGAACTTATTCCTGTCTTTATAGTATTTTGTTTATTTTTTTCTGAAAAATTTAGACGAATCATTAATATCCAAACATTTCTTTCACTATCGACATAAGCTAACAAATGAGACATTCCGTTGTTATGGTAACATGGGGAAAGTATTCAGGCCAGTATATTTGCATGTTGAGTTCACTTGGCGTTTAAAACTTTTCTTTTATTTCCACCCAAGCTAAGTACAGTAAATATTTGTAACAACTCACTGTGGATTAATGCTGTGAAAATTATCCTTGCACAACTGTGTCGACCTCACTGGATTCTTGCCTTGTGCCATACTGAGCTAAGTAGATGTTTAAGCTAAATATATTGATTAGAATATTGGTTCAAAGCCCACTGACTAATCAAACAGACGATATTTCTCTTATTTCTCGTCGTCGCGTGAGATTCCTTGTGATCCTACGTGATCATCTGCACAGACAT